GTGTGTGTGTGTGTGTGTGTTGGTTCTTCAGCTGCACAGAAACAAGAAGTCCACAGGGTTAGTGTTAGGATAACCCCTAACCCTGTCACCCTGTGGATCGTTGACTGTTCTCCATAAAGCAGAGGAGCTCAAAGTGGGGCCCGCGGGCCAAATTTGGCCCGCCAAGCCATTTGATTTGGCCCACCAACAGTTGCCAAAGTTACAAGGTTGTAACCTATTATCCTATGTATATACACAGTATTTCCATTGGTCAAATAACTATATAAAAGGGCTGTATACAGCCCTTTTTATATAAAAGGTAGTGAAGGTAGTTTTCATTCATTGTGCTGACTTTATCTTTGATTTTTTTAGGATTAAACATGAGACATGAAATGACAAGAAATATTTTGTTCAGGTTTAACCACACATGTAGATTTGCACACTTTATAAGACCACAAAAACTCATATTTTATCAATTTATGAAATGTCCCATGAGCCTTTCCTACTTGAGCATATGGCAGACTTTCTCCAAGTGCACAGACTAAAGCAAAAGAGGGCCATTGCATAGCTTAATCGTTAAAAATAAGGGACTTTACTTTTAAAAGTATTTGTATTTCATGTACTATATTACTGTATTTGGCCCGCTGCCCTGGATAGATTTTCATTTTGGCCCCCTCGGGGAAAATGTTTGGGCACCCCTGCCATAAAGCCTGCACTACTGCTTATCTCCTGTTGTTTCAGGACCATCAAGAAAATCCTTCAGGACCATCACACCCAGGACATGTACTGTTTGAATGTACAAACAGATGTTTCAGATCCATAAAGACTAAAACCAACAGAGTAAGAAACAGTTTCTGTCCTTCAGCCGTCACCATGAATGCTGCTAAATCTGACCTGGTGCACCTTCATGTTTACAGTCCAGCTTTAACTGCAGCTAAGAGGCAAGAGCATAAATGAAAACAGTTACAGACTCTGTTGGTTTTTAGGTATTTATTTTACTCTTGTTCTCTTTTTACTAAACATTTTATATCTTAGATTTGTTCATATTTGCAGAATCGTTTCATTGTTGCAACTCTGAGGAACAAACCTGAGGAAACGTTGGTCTGGTGTAACGTACGTCACTTGGGATGTTTTACTGATAATATATTTTTATTTCAGTTGAAACACTAAGATTTTTCCAAGCCAGGGGCCGTGTGTGTGCTGGGGGGGCATGTTTAAAAAAGAAGACCTAAGAATATGTCCGACCATCCTGGGTTTGTTCAGTGAGACTTCACTGAACTGGAAAACGCTGCTGGGCCTCGTGCCTTCCAGCTCAGCTGGAATCGCTGCGTTTACTGAAAGTTTTTCACTTACAAACATCCTTTATTTAACCAACATCCTGGATGGATTATTTTGTGTTTTGTATCGTCATCACGCCATCAGGGTTGTTGTGAGGAAATGTGTCAAAGGACCTAGTTTTTACTTTTGAAGCCAGTGGTTCAGACAGAGGTACTACAGAGTCCAATCACATGTCAACAGTTCTGGCCTGCTTCCCTTCTGGGGAACAGTTCATTTACTGAAGTTTCAAACTAATTATTCCTGAATTCCAGTCAGCTGATTCACATTTTACTGGAAGACCAGATCAGATTTTTAGCCTTTGTGGACAAGTAACATGATGCAAGCCAAGATTTCTCAGAATCCTCTAAAAAAATCATTGCTGGAAAATATTTTTAAACCATTTCAATCAAATCAAATCTGGACTCCATAAATCAACAACTTCACAGATCCTGTGCAAATAGAGAAAAAAATACTCAAAACCTTATTAAGAGTTTAGGATTCTTGGAGCAACTAAAGGCTAAAAAAGTCCCACAAACTAAGTAGAGGGTTGCTGAAAGTTGACTTAATAAAACCTTTTTAACTTATAGCTTTTGGCTTGTTCTGGAAGACAAACCCTGTCAGTCAAACCTGCCTAAAGCTCACATAAAACCTGCCTAAAGCTCACATAAAACCTGCCTAAAGCTCACATAAAACCTGCCTAAATTTGTTTTACCTCGAACACGTTGCGTCCCTGACAGCTGAATTTCAACCTACATCCATTTCAAAGTCATGTAAGTGACAGTGTAGTTTGGCTGCACTTATTACCATTTCAGCATCACATAAAGGTCAAATTATAAAAGCAAAGAGGAAGTGTTTTACGTTTGTTTGTGCATTTTATGTATATTCATGTATCTGCTGCTCTGTGCTACCTGAGCACTCTGAGCAGACGAACAAACCTTTAAATGTATCCAGAAACGTTGGAAGCGTAGGGTGTTTGTTGTTTTCTATGTTTTCATTTAAAGTTAGATCAGATCTATGAGAGCTGTGCGTGCACTCGTGTGTCCAGTCGTGTTTTCCAGATGTTTTCAGATCCAGGTGAGGTCGTGAGTGTGAGCGAGGCTGACTCACTTGTTGTACAGGACCACGTCAGGCAGCCAGATGTGTTTGGAGGGCAGCCTGACTTTCAGCATCCCGTCAAATTCCTCAGGGACCCAAGTCAGCCGGTAGTCCTGCCACTCCTGAGGGACAAAAAAATATATATAAACATCCTGCTTCAGTCCCTCACCTGTCAATCACACAGTGAGCAGACGACTCTGATTTATGACTGCAATAGGTTTGAAGAAATTTATAGTTATTAGAGGTTAGTACTGATGTTAAAAGCACCACAATATATTTTTAGGTTTCCCTTTTTATAATGTTGACAATGTTTAATCTATTATGTTTTGATTGATATAGATTAGTTACATGTCCGAATTATAAACAACACATAATGAAAACGTTATAATAACAGTAGATGAGACTTTTGTTTGAATGCCTGTGATTCAGCCGTAGGTCAGTAGGGGGCGAACGTGAGCATTGAAGACTCTGTATAAATGGATCAACTTCCTGGTTTGCGGGCAGTGTGTGGTTTCCTGTCAGATCCGTATGGCCATAAACCTCACTCCAGAATTCTGCTTTTGTATGGTTTTATTTCGTCTAACAATCATTATTTAACATTGGTGGTTTTCTACTGACTTGAGTCTTTGAACACAAATATTTCTTACAGGTTGATTCCCTTTTGGAGGTGGTGGACACAGTTTTGCCAATTCGCTAGATAGTTCAATGACATAACGACTTCTGGATCATGTGATTGGCTCACCATATTTATGGGCGATAATGGAAAAGAGTAGTATTGTTTATACCAGGGTTTCCTCCAGTGTATTATTAGTGTGAATTAGAAACATGGCGCTCTGTTATTGTGACATTAGATGATATACCGCTTTGCTCCGCCCCCCATACCTGACATTAAAAACATTACCATACCGCTACAGTACTATATAAAAATACCAGGATGATGACGTCACTGAGAACCATCGACAGCGTAACGAGCTTCCCATTTAGCGTATTAGCTTTTTTTTGCTAACTTTGGAAACCATTAAAGTACCAGTTACCTTCTGCTAAACTGGGTTTTACCAATTTTAAGTCCACTAAAAATAAAAATGTAAAACTTATATTTTTAGGGCGTTTATCCCAAATTTGAAAAATAAATAAATAAATTCTCGACGAGCAGTGTTTACAAGCTGCACCGTGGTTAGCATGTAGCATCTTTAGCTGCTAAACTTCAAACTAGGAGCGTTAAAACAAAATAAACAAAATTTTAAAAACTCATTTTTTTCTATTGTGAATTCTTTGCAGAGGGTGACCTTCTGAAATGTCTTGATTCACCTCATCCTTTTGTTTTTGTTCAGTTGGTCAATCAGGAAATAAGTACAGAATTCATCATATTTTTATTTTTTTTACCTTTAAAGACTCAAAAGGATGCGTTTGCAGCATGTTTTTGATCCTTCTCCATCTACAGCAGGAAAAGCTGGATCATATTTTGCTGATGTTACAGTTAACTGCCACAAAAAACAGTCGACCTGTACACAATTCAATTCAATTCAAAAATACTTTATTGATCCCAGAGGGAAATTAGGTGTATAGATCTCAAGTCCAGAGTTATTTAAAGAAAATCCACCATTTTGGCTTCCTCTACAATTTCAAATAAATAAATATGTTAAATAAAACTGACAAACTTTATTTTTAATAGAAAAAATCAGCTAAATTTTAGTTCCACTATTAAGAGGTTGTTGGATCTGTTCCCACCACTGGCACCACATTAGGGTTTTGTTCTAATTTTGTTAGCATGTTAGCATAATAACTTGCTATAAGTCTTTAACCCTTTTTATTGATTTAGATCTAAATATGTAACCAAGGGTCCAAGTTAACTAACATCTTTAACCTTTTCATCAGAAACAAGGTTTAGACCATTTGGTGTTTTCCTTTTCACCGACGTGTCGTCCACACTGTTGTGAAGTTAGAGTTGTTTCTCAAACATCGGCCTCGTTAGTTGTTCAGGTAGTCGTCGTAGCTGCTCCACAGTAGAGCAGGCAGCAGGACATCCTGCGACCCACAAAGCTAGAGAAAGCTGTGACACGCAGCGCTGCAGCTTTCAGCTCATGCATCATGCTCTGCTGGTGTGATGACAGCGTAGGATCTGATTAAACTCAATCATCACGCACCACGGCCAGCTTCAACCGGTTCCTGTGTTTGTTCCATTAATACACGACTCTGACCTGAGTGTGAGGGCTTCACTCATCAGGTGGTCCGTGTTTCCTCTTGTTTCTGTGTTTCAGATCTGTCACCTGAACAACAGAAAACTAAGTTTGGAGGAAATGAAAGAGTTTAAAGTCTCACCTGAGTCAGCCACACGTTGGTGGTCATCACCTGCTCTCGTTCATGCTGCAGGAGGAAAACACACAACATTAAAACTGTGACATCATCACAGTGTCTCCACCCATTGATCATCCATCCACACATCCATCCATCCATCCATCCATCTATAATCCATTTATCATCCATCCATCCACCCATTTATCATCCATCCATCATTCATCCATCCATCTATAATCCATTTATCATCCATCCATCCACCCATTTATCATCCATCCATCATTCATCCATCCATCCATACATCCATCATCCATCCATTTATCATCCATCCATCTATAATCCATCCATCTATAATCCATTTATCATCCATCCATCATCCATCCATTTATCATCCATCCATACATCCATCCATTTATCATCCATCCATCATTCATCCATCCATCTATAATCCATCCATCTATAATCCATCCATCTATAATCCATCCATCTATAATCCATTTATCATCCATCCATCATTTATCATCCAACCATTTATCATCCATCCATCCATCCATCCATCCATTTATCATCCATCCATCACTCATCCATCCATTATCTTCATGGAAGCAGCAGTTTGAGCAGGGACCTCTCATTCCTCAAACACTTCTTCCAGATCATCTGAGAGGACTCCAAGGTGTTCCCAGACCGTCTGAGAGACAGTCTCTCCAGTGTGTCCAAGGTGGTCTCCAGGGTCTCCTCCTGGACACGTGGGTAACCTGCCTAGTGAGGCTTCTGCACACCTCAGTGAGTGTGAAATTAGTGACTCAGAACCTGCTAACATAGCTTCAAAAACCTACAACAGTCCCGTATCAGGACACTGCTACGAAAATAGCTTCAATAACACTAAACAGCTCAACAAGTAAAAATTGGCTGAAGCTAATACTAATAGCCAATTGCTAACTGCTAAGACAACTGTCACAGGACACACAGTCTGTGTCACAAGTCTTTGGGACTGACACAATCCTTTTGATGTTAGTTTTTTAGTTAGCTGTTAGCAGATTTAAAGTTGGCAAAACCTAATTTAGTGGAGGCTAATTGGTCCGCTAACTGTTTTTCCAAAGTTAGTGAAAACACTAATCTGCAAAACCAAGATTTACACTATTAACTGTTAGCTTTTAGCGGTTAGCTTTTAGCTGTTAGCAGAGTAAGACTTTAGTAATAAATTTGACATGTTTTCATTTAGTGGAGGCTAATTGGTCCGCTAACAGTTTTCAAAGTTAGTGAAAACACGAATCTGCAAAACAAAGATTTCCACAATTAATCATTAGCGTTTAGCTGTTAGCTTTTAGCTGTTAGCATACTAAAACTTTAGTAAGAAATTTGACATGTTTTAATTTAGTGGAGGTTAATTGGTCCGGTAACTGTTTTTCCAAAGTTAGTGAAAACTCTAATCTGCAAAACCAAGATTTCCACTATTAACCTGTGTTAGCTGTTAGCTTTTAGCTGTTAGCTTTTAGCTGTTAGCGGGACCATGCCCACCACTGCTGATAAACATAAATGTGTTGAATAAAAACAAACGAATAGATTTAATAACTTGATTTAAAGCGATGCAGATTAAAGGACGAGGATTTGACACGTATTACTCACCACACTGATGAGCTGGGCCAACGACACCATCAGCTGCACGGTGACCAGCTCCGAGCCGTTAGTGGCGGGGCGGATCAGTTTGTTGTAGTGTGCTGGGTTTAAGAGATGCTCCACCAGCCGCTCCTCTGTGTCTGCCCCCAGGACACCTGCCACGACAGGGCAAACACTCATCAGCAAACAAACGTGCAATCACACGTGTCCTGAACAGTGTTTTTATTGTTTTATCACGTTAGCGTGTTGCTAACACCCGGAGCAGGCGGTGTTTGTTGTGGGGTGAGTTTCTCTGTTTGTGCCCCTCTCTCACTGCTACAACCCCTCATGGCTGCAGAGGTTTTTCAGCGGGGTATTACGGATCACTGGCAGCTGGAGCATGTCACCACAGCTCCACAGAGACGTCTTACATGATCTGACATCACAGGAATGACTCAACCCGTCTCACTGTCTCTGTCCTTCCTGTCTCATCCGCCGCTCCTGTCTCCATTTATTCCCCTCAACAGTGCAGCACTTCACCCTGACTGCCAGATCCTTTTTAGCTTTGGGTTATTTTCACTCCATCTCACACATCCCTGCTCGTCTACCCTCCTCCTCCTGCCTGCCGTCCATCCATCTGCAGCAGAGTCAGGCTGAATCTGTGAGTTTAAGCAGAACTGTCACAAAGCGCAGGAGGGGAGGCTCCGATGTGTTTTCTTGGGAGACGACGCATCAAGAAAAAAGAAAAACCACCTCGTTTCTCCATCCCTCCTTGTGTTTCCCTCTCTTTTCTTTTTGGCATCTGCTCACTGCACACAAGCTCTCAGAAGTCCCTCACACTCTCAGCCCGACATAAACACAGGCTGCTCACTGTGAGCTCAACAGATTCACACGACTCCTCTTTTTGCAGGCTGCTGACGCTGAAGGAAAGAAAACATGATGTCGACCATCTGAAGTTAGCTGTTGGACTTCATGTTTTAGGTCAGAGTCAAGGTCTGCGGGCCAAATGCAGCCAGCCACTGCATTCATAGCTTCAAAGATGTATTAACCCTTTAACATCTGAGGGTCAAAAAGGCCCAAAACTTTCACCTGGTATTTTTGGCTTATTTTACCTGTAAGAAGGACAATAATTGTCCTGTGAGTAAATAATTTTGCACCTTTTTCAATAACAACTAAAATTTTCATTATCTGGCAGTTAGTTAAAATTCATTGCATATTAAAATAGTGTATTCTCAGTTCTAAATGAATAAAAACCAAAAACGAAACTAGTTTTTTTAGGTTTACTAAGGAAAAAAATCACACCAAATGTACCTAACAATATGAAATGTAGACAGTATATTAACTATGTGCAGTGAAACGTTTTGATTTTTTTTGTAAATAAATGAAAAAGCAGTCCAAAAATGAAAACCATATACATGGTGTTTTTCCCCTTCCCCCCATCTCTCAGTGTTTGTGAAGCTGCCAGAAACAGTTCCTATGAAGCTGCAGACACAGGTCCTTCATCACATTAGGCACATAGTTCTACATCACCATGCTCCATTTCAGTCCTCCATCTGACAAGATTTGGTGAGCAGCTTCTGTCTCTCACCGTCTTAAAATAATCTGCTTTAACGTCAGCGATGACCATAAACTACATCTCCCACAATGCATTTAGATGATTTTACCCCTCAAAATGATGGCATCCCACCTCTAGGTGGAGGTGCACATGGGTTCAAAAGTTACCAGTGTTTGTTAAAACTAATTGTGTAAAATCATTTCATTGTATTTCCCTGTGACCCAGTTGTACTGGGAAATGGGAATTTCCCACTTACAAGTGATAAATTTGAACTGGAACGAGAGATTTCTCTGTTGCTAAGTGGGAGAGTTCAGAATTCAAGACGGCAGCTAAACACTAGAGGTGCTGGATTATTCTTGAAATAAGAAAAAACTGAGTCAAATCAAGTGTTTCAAGAATCTTACCAAGTAAAATGTTCTTACTCCACTGGCAGAAATGTTTGACTTAATTTCAGTCAAATCAAGTATTTCAAGAATCTTACCAAGTAAAATGTTCTTACTCCACTGGCAGAAATGTTTGACTTAATTAGAGTCAAATTTTCAGACTAACAAGACAAATAATCTTACACATTCTGAAAACAAGATGATTATTCTTACACAATCAGTTCTTGTTTAGTAAATCAGTCTGAAAACAAGATCAAAAAGACTTTTTGGCTGATGTAAGAGTTTAAAACTTGGTTAGGTGGACAGTTTTTGCAGTGTCAGGTCCAGCATGTAAACCAGACGCCCCTGATGCTGGAAATGAGTTTGGTGTGAACGCAGCATTATGGTTGGCAAAACATTTTAGTAGAAGCCAAATGTTTTCAAAGTTAATGTTAGCTGATTAGCGGTACCATGTCCACCACTGGGCATAACATGGCTACAAAAATGAGCAGACTGTCTCTTCATGGAGGAAAATCAAGACAAAGCACAAGTCAAGAGAGCAGAATAAAAGCAAACCAAGAAGACAGGAGAGATAAACACCACATCAGCTCAGATCTGAACTCCTCTGACACGCTGTCCTGTCTTTTATTTCTTCCTTTACTTCCTGTTTCCTCTGTCCTCCTGTGTTCACTGAACAGATTTTCTGTCTGTGGATCAATGACTGTTTCTCCCCACTAACATCACACAACTTCCTTTCTCAGACTTTCACCTTTTTTTTTCATATTTTCATCTTGATCTCCCTCCTCCCAGTCTCTTATCTTCTTGTGTTATCTCCCTGTCTGTGGTAGAAACTGTCAGTTTATCCCCTCCTGTCAGCACGTGTCTGGACTTATTTATTGTTCACGAGCACACGCCGGCTTTGTGTTTTTACGAGCGTGTGCGTCATTTTATCATCATGAGGGAAATAAAGGCTACTGTCTGCGTCTGAACAAAATGAGTGATGTATATTAGTCCCAGACGCACAAGGCAATAAGGCTGTGGAACGAGACAAGATGACAAAACATTGTCTGCGTCTGAACAAAATGAGTGATGTATATTAGTCCCAGACGCACAAGGCAATAAGGTAGAGGTAACCCTGGTGAAAAAAAACTTTTCTATTGTTTATTTTCTTTGTCTTTGATTTTATTTTTTACACTTATAAGAAGAAAATCATTTTAAAGTGTTTTTATTCTCTTTAAGTGAATAGNCCTTTCCACCACAGAGCGACTGATCTGTTTGCTGATGGATTCAGGCCACGTGCGTTTGATCAGGTCCAGAGGACTCGTGAGGTTTAAAGACAAGTGTAGACAAAATGAGGACAAAGTGAGAGATAAACTGAACAACAATCGTCTCTATTTATACAGTATTGGGAAGCAGGGGTTAGAAGAGGACAAAGTTTTTATTCTTTTCTGTTAACTGCCAAAGAAGCTTTTTGGCCTTAGCTGAGAGGTTTTATGATGAAATATTCCTAAATCCATAACAGAGGCATGCATTGATCTACTGGCAACACCCAGCTGGCTTCAGAGATCTTAATATTGATCCAACCTCCAGCCTGCACATCACACAGCACTCAAAAACAAAGTCATTCCACTCTGAACGAGCAGGAAGAGGAAGTGTTATTGTCTCACTCAACTGCACAGCCCAGAGAGCTACGCTGCAGCTAGCATGTTTCATCCACTTACCTGCACTACGTCTATAATTAGCTTTTTATGGAAGCGTCAATAGAAATGGACTCATTAAAGCTTTCTTAGAAATGCAAACTCTGCTTTATGTTTCCAGAAAACAAATATGGCTCAAAATGAGAGTGGAACAAAAATAAATATATATCACAACTCAACACAGCTTTTCTTCCCGTCGTGATTGACTTTTTTCAACTATAGATTCTGTGGTTATTTGGTAAAAACTTACAGTTCAAAGGTGAACAGTTTCCAGTTAAACAGCAATTAGTTCAGTTTCAAACAAAAATAAATATATTGAGAAAATTAGATTTGTTTCATAACTACGGAAGCTGAGAGCTGACGTTTTCCTCTGACAATTTTTTCCCACGGTTTCCCCCAAACTACACGTGATGACGACATATCATGTCGATGAAGTTTCCTACATCATGACACAGGCTGAAACTACAGTTTGTTTTCTACAGATAACACAGCTTCATCATCCTGCTTCTATAAAACACTTCATCAGTCAGCAGCTGAGGAGAACAAGCCAAAACAAAATCAATCACTTCCTAAACTTCACCCGTCAACCGGGGTTACAGTTTGTCCAGTTTGGTTGTTTCTGTTAAATATAAATATTAATATTGATATAATTAAAAGTTGGCAGAA